TACAAATCAGAACTCCGAAATATACTAAGGAGAAAAAATGAACCAATCATAGAATACATTGGTAGAGTAAAAGATTTCCGTGAGGCACTCATGGATGAAGAAGGATATTGGGAAGAAGCTTCCGATGCAAAAAGGTGCAAGATTGACGAGCTCGTCCTCCATAGTTTCTGCACCAAACTACCAAGTACTTTCCATATTTTTCGGCTCATCAATGTAGGGACCTTACAGACGCTTACGACAAAGCTATAGAATTACAGTTTGCAGTGCAGCACGAATGGAATAGAAGGAAGGCCGCAAAGACATGGTAGTTAAAGGATAATCGTGAACGGCCGGCCGACTTCTATTACCAAGAATCATGAAAATCAGATACAAAAGGGGCTAATACGGGCATAATACAGGCCGACGCTTCGTCCGAGGTCTGTACATACTGTAAGAAGATTAGACACACTCGCGAGAAGTGTTATAAAAATAAGCGAGAAGTGTTTTAAAAATACGCGCGATCAACAAAAACGGGGCCAAGTACCAACACATAAAACGTACTTCTACCTCCCTCCACGACTACCACACATCCCTCCTGCCGTACGATAGACCCATCCCACCGCCACGCCAAACCCAAACTACCCGAAGGAATGCCGACACTGCAAGAACTTCGGACAAACGATCGATGAGTGTCGTAAGAAGAAATGGCAGGACCACCATGCAGAAAACGCGAATCATCCTCCGTCGAAAGATGCGACTTCGGGAACGAACGCATAAGCGCGCCCAATAATGGGGATAAAAGCGGACAAACCGTCTACATCCGCGAAGTCAAATTAAATCGCGATCCGAGAACTCCTTTCGTCGCTATAACTTCGAAGGACCTAAAAGAGGAAACAGAATTTTTAGTTGATACGGGATCAGAACATAACATATTAAAAATCTGTATGGCCGATGATTATTTAATGTGCAATGAGTCAGATAAAATCAAACTAAGCGAAATTACGAGAGAAACAGTTACTACGTACGGCCCTTGCATTGACGACATTTACATAATTCCTATGGAATTTCATATCGTACCTAACTCTTTTCCTATCCTACATGGCGACATAATCGGATCCGACTTCTTCAGAGATGCTGCAAAAATAAATTTTATTGAAGAACACGTAGAAATGACTATGTCTTTCGTCAAACTGAGGGAGATAACTATTCCGGCGTGAACAAGGAATGTAGTCAAAATACGCACTTCAAGCAAGGAAAATAAAACGGGCTATATGCCCTCATTAGATCTTGGAGAAGGAATTTTTGACGGTGAGGCCGTAGTAACTGGCAATAACGAAGAGGCTTTCATGAGAATCTTCAATACGAACGAGGAGGACGTTTACTTAATTATAACAACGGTCGAACTTCAGGAACTCGAAACGGCTGATACGTGCGTCTTATCAACCCTAGGGCCTAAGACGAGTTGTCTCAAATTCTATCAAACAGTCTCAGTAGAGATAACAAAAATTTAAAGAGATCTTATCTTCCTCTCGAAATTAATTCTATGAACGAGGCTAGTGAATCCGATACGCGGGCCTTATCTTCCCTAGGGCGAGATAACATCCGGATGCCTCGCGATTACAATCAAGACAATGGAGGTTGCGCAATCAACGAAGCCCGCTACAAGTCCTTCCCATGTTTCTCTCCATTTCACTCGTCCCTGTAGGACGGTTTCAGGTAACAACAATGAACGTTACACGAAAGCTCTCCAGAGCATAATCCTAGAATCACTAAACGTAGAAGAAATCAGATCTTGTTGAGCATTCGAAGGAGACGGACGTGCGGATCGGTGCTCTTGTGAGAGAAAAAAGACAATACAAGCCCCCACGGGGAGGACGCAATATAAAAGAAATAACGTCAGCTACCGCAAGACGAGTGCTTCCCATTACCACTAGTGATTCAGTGTTGTATTATTGCAAAGCATATAATAAAATTATAATGAGTACGTGAATTAGACTCATTAGACGCCCCTTCACAGATCCAAAAAAAAAAAGCCATAGAGTCAAGCCAAAAAAAGAAACTAGAGAAAAGTGCTTCGTTTGACGAAGTTAATCAAATACTGAAAAGAAATGTCAAGAGCTTCGACAAAGATTTCAACACCAGGAATTTTTAAAGGCTATTCGAAAACAACTATCGTATAAAACCAAACATTAATGCAGCTAGAAACAAAGAACATAGATTAGAAGCGAACAAAGAGATTGAAAGGTCCGAAGGGTTTCTCATACCAAAAAAAACGGTATCAGCGAAAAGCCCAGTCAGCAACAAAGGCTCATGCTACGAAACAGATAACAGATTCAAGGCGTAGAAAACAGATTCAAGATAACAGATACATGAGCGTAACATAGGAGGGAGAAACTGAACATGCCAATAGCGGCACAGCTAGATACAGTAGCCAGACAATCCAAACAATTCGAATGCCCCCAATATATATATTAAAAACTAATCTTAGGGACATAATTATCTTGCTTAATAATAGCAATATCAAGAAGGATGCGTTCTTAGTAAAACAACTCGATATTGACATGATCAGACTTACAACCAAGGATAGCGAAACACACTTCCTGTTAAATTTAGACGACAGTAATCTATTCTAGCACTCTTTTAGAGCATGTTACAAAATATCGAAGGTTATGTGATCGTCTGAAGAAAGCAGGATTAAAATTGCAATCGGAGAAATATATTTTTCTAAGGAAAAAAGTGACCTACTTGGGGCATGTAATCAGTTCAGACGGTGTAAAACCGGGCCCCGGAAAAATAAGAAAGGTACAAGAATTCCCCGTACCTCGTTCAGCAAAGAACATAAAACAATTCTTAGGAGTAGCCGGATATTACAGAAGGCATATACCAAACTTCTCCGCTATCAGCAAACCACTCTCTAATCTTTTGAAGAAAGACATACCATTCTGGTACAGTCAAAAGGCGTCATTCAAAACATTAGTACAATTGTTATGTCAAGAAACACTATTCCAATACCCGGACTTTTTAAAATCATTCGTCGTTACAATAGACGTATCCAATTACGCTATCGGAGGAATATCCAGCCAAGGTGAAATAGGGAAGGCTCTGCCTATCGCATATACCTCTAAACCTACATATATACATATGTACCACTAGATTACTAAACCAAGCGGAACAGAACCACTCGACCATAGAGAAAGAATTATTAGCCATTATATACTCAGTGAACAATTTCAAACCTTATCTTTATAGTACTAGTTTCTCTTTAGTAACAGGGCACAGGACCTTAGTATGGCTGAATTCTGTGAGAAACCCTACATCGAGATTGATACGATGGTGATTAAAGCTAGCCGAATATGAATATAACATCGTATATAAGGCCGGAAAGAAAAACGTAAACGCGGACGCTTTATCTCGAAACCCTGTGGATCTCCATAAACAGATACTCCCGATAGTAGGAATAAGCTCAAGTGACGAAGAAATGTATATAGCTAGAAATAAACAAGCAAGCACTCAAGAATCTAAAGAATCTCAAAATAAGAAAGTGTAGAAAATAATAGAAGAAACTGTTCAAGTCCCACCTGATGTATACGATAAGACAGACGAAACTAGTGACAAAACTCCAATCGAAAAAACTTACGCTTACATCGACAGCAATCTAATAGAGATAAACGACAAAATGATAATGTATAACGGGAATATTACCTTCTTTACTACGGCTAACGAAACTTCAGTAGATCTAGACGCAAAAGAGCTAGCAGATAACTATAAATTACCCATCATCAACGACGCATCCCTTGGAAAAAAAGATTATTAAGACAAATGAAAGGTATTTAATTGCGTTAGCTGTCAACGAAAGAATCGCACTCTCTATTCAACTAGGGACTCTGGACGAAGTCCTTCATTCTCTTCTTGACGCGGCCATCGAACTACAATTTAAAAGATAACTATTCTCAACAGGAGATATACCCTGGACCTACATAAGGCGCAAAATTCGTTCGATCTTTTTAGGTAGAGGAACAAAGATCATTATATTAAGGCGTGAGATAGAGATACCTAAAGAAACTGAATTGAAATAATACATGACAATCATTCGACGCCTGTAGGCGGACATAAAAGTGTATCGAAAACTTACTCTAGAATCCGATAAAAATACAATTGGGCAAATTTAAAAAGAGATATTCTAATTATATATAGAAGTGCAGAAGTTGTCAAACGAAAAAGCTTGATAGGTTAAAAACTCATCAACCGATGACTATCAATGACATGCTCGGGAAGGCGTTCTATAAAATACATATGGATATCGTAGGCCTACCACGAAATCCGGACATAGCTATTTTTTAACAATGCTAGATCTTCTCAACAAATATTCTATTGTGATTCCCCTCTAACAAGCTACTTCGAAGGAAATCACTGATGCATTTATTAAAAATGTAATATGCCGATTTGGCTCTCCAAAAGGTATCTTGACCGATCAAGGTACCAACTTCTTGTCGGAATTAATGAAAGCCATTGGTAAGAAATTCAAAATCCATCAATATCAGACGAGCGCATGTCACCCACAATCGAACGGCTCAATCGAACGATCACATCACGTCCTCGTAGAATTCCTTAAACATTTCATTACCGAAAACAGTGAATGGAAAGATTGGATTGAAGTGGCAATGTTTTCATCTAATATAAGCGTACACGATGGAAAGATGTACAAACCTCACGAAGTAATGTTTGGCCAATTAGCCAGAACACCGAACGAATCTACCTGTAATGATTTACAAAATGAAACATATGCGCATTACCTGAAAATCTTAAATGAACAGATTAATAGATCACAAGAAGCTGCGAGACAAAATTTAATTAACGCTAAAAAAAAATCAAAAATATACTATGATAAAAAGCAGCGAGATGTCGATTTTAAAATAGGAAACCGAGTATACTTTTTGAAGGGAACACATAAAAGTAAACTCGATGACAAATATATTGTACCATTCGATATAGTAGAAGTATTAAATAAGCACAATACGTACCGACCATGGCAATCGCATAGTACACGCCAACAGAGTCAAGGTCGATAAACCCAAGTAACAGTCGCCATCATGGAAACCTGTAGTATTGATATACGGGTCCTTCAAGCGTAGCATAGCGCAACGATCGCATTCACTTCAATGATGACGGTTGGTAAGATGGTCTTCCATCACAGTCGATAAGTTAGAATATAAGAAACGCTAAAGGAGCTAACGGTATTAGTTACCTTTCGACGCTTTGTAAGACGGAATAGCTTAGAAGTCGACATAAAAAAATCTTTACAATGGAAATCTTTATTTTACTACTACCCTTAGTAAAAGTAGCAGTAACACTAGTGGGATACGATTGCGCCACGCAATTTCTGAACATTACCTCGTATTTCCTCTTACATAGAGCCGACTGTGAGATCCCGAATCTCCAGCCAATTAATAGCACAGGCTACGTACAGCTATCACAGACTGCCGATTACTACTCCGTAAAGGCCTTACAATGTCGTGTAGAAATAAATCGCACGATATTTCATTGCGGCATGCACTCACACATGTCCATCTTTCACAATGGACGACGGAAATATCTATTCTCACTGACCCATTTGTGCCAGCAGCTGTACTCTACCGGCACTCTCTCTCACTAGGCCCGAACATATTCACATTAGGCCTAAAGAAAAGCAGCATCAACACAAAAAGACTAGAGCGGCACCGTCACGACAGACGGTACTTGCAAAACCTCTCAATATAGCGACCTCTATGGAACATGGGACGAGGTAGTAGTACAAGCCATCGTTAGGCTCACTCTACAAGACTATATCGCCACTGTCAAGACAAAGGCCAATCAAATCCATCTAAAATCTGGAACCGCATGCGCATTGGACGGAGAAGCCTGCCACGACTTATACGAAAGCGAAAGTTACTGGTCGAACATTCCGACCGACAGCAGTGGTTTCTATGAATATAACGTTCTTTATGAGGGTCCAGCAATGAAACTAACACCTGCCGAATCATTTCAAAGACCCATACTTTACACAGTGGCAACGAAAGACGTCACGTTTGCTCTAACAAGAACCAGTGAGTTTTCTTTTGTGTGTATACTCTATGATCAAAACAGAACACCCTTAGCTATTCTTCATAGAAACATTATCTGGAAGATCATTTAAAGGAAAGACTAAAATTTCCGTAGAAAACTTATCTTTGCCTATGTGAATTCGAAATTTATATATGTAGAAAGACATCTTAAGACACAACTAACCTCGTTATATGTCGACATTACGCGCCAAAAATGGTTGCAACAATTTCTCAGGAATGCCCTTTCTTTAGCATCAACTGCACTCGACAAAATGGCTTATACCTTAATGAAGCAACCAGGATACATGGCAGTCATCGCGGCAGAAGTAATGTATATTACAAAATGTATTTCTATGGAAGTAAAGGTCAGGCAGACTGAGGAATGCTATAAAGAATTACCGATCACTTATCGGAACGACTCATATTTCCTAGCATTTAAAACACGCATCATCCTAAAAGAAGCTTCATCAAAAGGTGGTAACGAATTGCCCAACATGTATAATCTACATGGAACCTGGTATAGAGTGACTCCGAAACTGTTCGAATCAATATCTCACCCAGTAATTCAATCTCTAACGAAGCCATAGTGAAGATACATCGACCTTGAACTCCTTGGAACAAGCGGTATTTACTCAAACGAGGATCTAAATAAACTCAGGTCACACATCATGGAACCACCTGAAAAACCCGCCATTATCAACACTCTTGCTATGATTTAGTGGAAAACATATACTTTCAGACAAAAATTTCTTTATATAATCTAATCGATGAGAAATTATTAAGTAAGATGGCATCAAGTATGGCACAACGATTCTGTGGAGCCTTCGTAACCTTCGGATCAGCAAGCGCCGGAGTCGTAGCCATTTTTATGGATCTTCGATTAGTCAAGTTCATCATCGACACACTCATCCATGTGTACGCATTACACAATATTTATGCGTGGATCCTACACATCCTAGGTGCCCTATGAAATTCAATAACAAACCTCCTCCTCCGCCAAAAGAGTGGAACAAGAAGAACCACACATAGAAATGGCACCCGAAATTACTGCCCTCCACAAGGAAAAGAGAGAACTCGCAACTGACGCACTCAATCGACCAAGCACATTATTTGAATTAAACTCATACATAAAGATAAATGTTAAAATGTACATATATCTACGCACATTTTTAAATAAGGGGGAAGTATTACATCCCATATTCCTCTCATACTTCGATTTAAATGCCTCTTATCTACCTATAAAAATCTTAATCTTCTGGAAATATGTTGCTAATAATATTATTGTAAATCACTCATTAGGTATAAGAAGCGATCGGAGACACATTACAAATTTATCAGTCTTTCTATTATACAAAATATTTTTACAATACATTATCTGTAGCGCACCGGACGGATCCCACGATACGTGACGCACTAGATGGAAGCCATAAGATGCGCCTTATGTAACGTACCAAACGACCATATTGTCGGTAGGTCGAGGCAACGCCTCATCCCCATAGCAAAGCTTCCGCAGGTAGCCTCATTCCCACCACCGACAACGCTACGCTTTCACTACGCCAACGTTACATACGACGTCACTAGTTTGTTATATATATATAAATATATGTATATAGTTCACACAAATAACAAATGTATAGAATATGTTTTTCTAAAGGTCTGTATAAGTTTTAAGAGACTTATTTCTATAAGTTACTAACATTATTATACAAAATAGACGAGCCCGACGTAAAGGGAGTCATTAATAATACAAACTAATTCTATAATAAAACGAACAGATATATATTTTTGGGATGATACTTTTTCGATGATTATACTTGGTTATTCTCGGTTATTTTTGAAAGTCATTCTCGAAGGTTATTCCTGACGGTAATTGTAAAGTATTAATAAATTAATATTGTTAAGTTAAAATCAGTGTGTCTTAAATAATCCCGGCTGAGTTACCAACACCTTGCGACGTTCTAAATTATTTTCAGATTACATTAATTATTTTCATGAGTCTCAAAAACTTTCTGCCGCGCAGTCGACAAGTTCAAAGATAATAAAAACTATCCTTCCATAAGACGTGAATCCTTAACCTTAAGTTATTCTTTTACTATGTGGAACATATGAATCGCACGAGTTAATATAACCTATCCTCGAATCCTAGCTTTATTTATGCCGAGAACATTATGCGGTTGTAGAAAGTACCATTTACGTCGACTATTCGCGTCGTTTTACAATTCGGTTCGTTATCACAAAGACTTGGGAATTGTTTCATCGGAAACTACTGACCAACATGAGGCAGTACCTTACCGCCTCATACTCCTCATGTCGAGAAGATTTATTACCCAAGTTGACTATCGCCGTCCGACCTTCGAGCGAAGTTCACCCAAACAATTCCATATCATCTAATACCGATCGACATTAGGAGATCGTTTGAACGGAAGACAGCTCGTATTGATGTCCGTCCCATGCCAAGAACTACACGTAGCAGGTAACAGTCAAAAAGGACACAAATTTCACAAGAGTAGGAGCACCTCAGGTATATAACTTATATATCTTCTTTGGGGTCCGTATCACGTGGGACGTTACAGGACGCTGCTAATTAAATGTTGGTCAACGGATGCTATTTATTTTTCGTTTTTGTGTAGCATAATGTCTCGTAATCAATTTGAATATAGATACAAATTATTCAAACAATGTTTCATCGAAGGGTATATATAGTACGATAAAATACATGCAGAACGGGATATCAGAAAATTGCTGGAAAGTTGTTATTTTTGCTGATGAAAATAAATATTGTATTTTTGGTTCAGACAGATAAAGTATAGTGTAGCGAAAAATAAGTCAAACTTTGAAACCAACAAATTTAAAATTTACTTTTAAAGATGTGAGTTATTCTGTGATTGTATGGAGATCAATTTCAAGGTTGAAGTTGATGAATCCTCAAACATATTTTAGAAAAGAACAAATATTTGGACCTTCTGAAGAAAAATTTTCGGTTAAGTGCAAATAAGATTGAACAAAAATATAGCACATTTAAAAATTTTCATAATAATCTTGAAATATAAATAGATACAGTGCCAGATAAAATGATAGGGCATTTGATGTATTTATATAATTCATATAACATAACAATATATACATTTTACACACTCTATGTCTTAGATATCCACGAAATATCCACATAAAATTGCAAGGTCATATCTTGTACATGAAAGAAATTAGAGAAAGAAGTGTAAACATCGGCTGACCTTACGTAAAATTTCGATTAGAATTTCCTGCATACACATAATTTATAGTTGCCTCGTCTTTAAACTTCATTTTTCTATAATATACGTACAATAAATTTTTCAATATTCACTTGTTTTTTTTATTATTTGTTTTCTTCAAAAAATGTACAATCTGTCTTATCTACCAGAACCGATCACTTTTGATAATTTTCTTTGTTTCTTATAACAATTAACAGACGTATAATACAGCAATTAGCATAAAAATAGGCTTCTTTGGTTATTTTATCATAAAATTTGTTTTTCTTATCTGTGTACACACACGTACATACAATATTTTTTTACGTGAAAAATTAAGCAATAAATAATACATTATAGTAAAAGGAAACATTTCTTTTCCCGTTCACCTTTCCGCCAGGAAAGAATCTCTTTTTTCTCTTTCTCTATGTTATCTTTCAGTTCTCTCTCTCTCTCTCTCTCTCTCTCTCTCTCTCTCTCTCTCTCTGTCTCCCTCTATCTTACTCTCTGTCTTCCTCACTTTCTCTCACTGTTTTCCTCTCTATCTGTCTCCCATTCTCTCATTCTCTCACTCTCTCTCACTCTTTCTCTCCCTCTCTCTCTCTCTCTCTCTCTTTCTGTCTCTCTCTCGTAGCATATATAGTGCTCCAAGGAAGCGGCTTTTCGACAATTACCGAAGCAAAACAATGGTTAAAGAAACACGAGGGAATAGTATACGTTATATTCGTTAGGGTCGATAAAAAGAACAAGAAAGAGATAGAAAAAAAAAAAGAAAAAATAGATAGATATCCCCCATGATTTTTTATAATATTTGCCGGACTTTCTTCCCGCATTGTAAACCAGAAAGGTTTTTTTATGTTATATCGGTGCCATGATGACAACGTTCAAAAAAAGAAAGAAGGAAAAAGTAAAAAGAAAAAATGAAAAAAAAATGAAATAAAAAGTTAAATAGTAGATGCGAAACTGATCTCCCGTTATGAGGAAATAAAAAATTACCACTGGAAGATTACCAAGTCGCTTCTCTAAAGCAACGAGTTTTTCTGACTCGATAGAAAACAAAAAATTGTTCTTGGACTAGATTCATGTTTGGAGGAAAAAATTTCCTTGCACCTAAAATTTGTTCTCTTTTGCGATAAGATTACGATATAATTTCTCTCTTTTTCTTTCTATTTCTTTTTTTGTTTGTTTGCTTGTTTATTTGTAGGTTTTTTCTTTATATTTTTCATTTATATTTTTTTTTAATATAATTTCCGACGCCCGAATATCTGAACAGAAATTTATTAGCAATCGCACTTAGCTGATTAATTTTTTTGCTCAAATGATTGAAAAACAAAAGAAAATATATAAAAATTAATAAGATTCTTGATAATAAATGATATTGGTGATCATTATCGAAGATCTCTAAGTATAAATCTTCTTCCTATTTCTTTTTTCTCATTTTTTCTTTTTCTTTTTAAATTATTAATTATCATAAAACTAACAAGTTATTTACGGAATAAATTAAGTTAATGACCATTTATCGAAGATTTAGGGAACTTGAGACAATTTACTAAACATTATAAAGATAATAAGCGATAGAGAGTAAATTATATACGATCATAGGTACAATTATAAGACGTCTCATTTTCGGAATTACAAAAACGTAGTTTCGCTGTTTGTACTGCGATGTCACTACAAATTCAGATCATACAAAGAAAGAGAGGCCTGTACAGGCAACGCCACGTCTTTTTCAATCATAACATTCCTTGTCCTCAATAGTAGCACAATGTCGAGTATGTAAGAAAAAAAAAAGAAGAAAAACAAAGAAACGAAAAAGTGTAGTATTTGAATTAAATAATGTATTAATTAACGAGAAGGATGGCAAAGAGTAAGAGGAAGAGAAGGAAGAATTTGGAAGTAGAAGTTATTAAGACTTTGAGTGAGGACCCTCAGGCAGATAACTCTTTGGTGTGGGCTTTATACTTTATACCAACTAGCCACACATTGGTTCAGCTGGATTAGTGAAAGTTCAAACAAAGTGGTTAAGAGTGAGTTGTTGATAAAATATTCACGCTTAAGCAATTGTCAATTAGAAATGTAATAGTAGTCTTAACACAGAGATCGAAACTACTATGTAACACTACTATGCTATTACTGGCCACACCTTCCAAGGAACAGTAGTCATCGATAGTGGGAATCTCCAAATTAATTCCCAAGAGTTAGTTAACCGAGACCAGGTACCAAAACAATCTTACCATTCTCCTCAACGCCAATCGAAGTCGGCTCGTCCGAGAACGGATCACCGATATTAACAAAAAAAGGATCATTGAAAGCAGGAAAACGTAGATTATTTATTGATGAATGAAGAAAGATCACCGATAATAGTTTTATTTTAAATTATATACAAGGTTATAAAACTAATTTTAAGTAGCCTGTTATTCAGTTAAAAGAGACAGTAAATTTTATAAATTCGGCTCAGCAGTTAAGGGATTGCAACGAAGCTGTAGATATATTGTTCAAATTTGGGGCTATTTAACCATATCATAACAAAGAAAGCCAATTTATTTCCTTTTGTTCTTTAATTTAGACAAATCAAATGGTATAAAGAGATTTATACTAAATTTTAAAAAATTCAAATTGTTTTATTAATACGGTGCACTTTAAGTTTGAGAATATTAAACTAATATCCAGATTAATTGCTTACGGAGATTACATGGCTAATTTGGATCTAGAAGACGCGTATTTTTTAATTGCTATCCATAGCGGAAATAGGAAATTTTTGAGGTTACAATCGCAGCTTTATGAATTTTGTTGTCTACCATTTAGTTTGATTATAGCACCGCATATTTTCACAAAGATTTTAAAACCTGCTTTAAATTTCTTCCAGTATATCTTTCCAGTTTTACATCATGTGAAGAATAATATATCAGAGACAATTAAATTGCTACACTCTCTTGGTTTTATTATAAATCAGAGAAAGAGTATATTAATTCTAAGTGGGAAATGAAAATTCTTAGGATTCTGCATAAGCTCAGAAAGACTGACACTAGAGTTATTTGAAGTAAAGCACGTTAAGATTTTAAAATTAATTAGAGAATTAAACAGAAGAAGAAAATGTAAAGTTCAAGAATTAGCTAAGTTTATTGGAAATTTAGTAGCAGCCTGCCCAATGATCAAATATGGATGGCTTTATATAAAGCGGTTTGAAAAAGAGAAATATTTAGCTCTGTTAGTTACTAATGGCTATTATGAGACATAGATGATTATATAAAAAAACGATTTACTCAAACGCTTCATTAACAAAGAAATATATGAATTTTTGCATCATATATTTCATCTAAGATGAACGTCGAAGCAGATAAGGAATCAAGGTTAGACAATATCGATACTGAATGCGAACTCGCGGGTTATGCCTCCACAAACATTGTTCAAGCTTTCATAA